CTTTTGGACTGTGTTTGGCCACATTTGAGGATTCGCAGATTCATTTGTTAAGAGCTGGGTGGGGTCAGGAGGAGGAGGAGGAGGAGAGTGAAGATCACCTTTCCTTTCTCAGCTGCCTGCTGCCCTCTTGTGCCATGATCTGCTCTCTACACCGGTGCATTTCCTTGCCGTTCATAAACCTGGAGCTGCTCCTCGGTTTGATGAAATGCTGGATTTGGGGTGCCAACCTCAAACACTTCTGTGTTTCACCCCCTGTAGATCCTGTCTTCATGTCAGCTGGCACTGGCCTTGACCCCTCTGTCATTCATTGTCTCTACGTTTTTCAAGGATTTAAGGGAGAATGGAGAGAGCTGCTCTATCCTGGTGTTTGTCTGATCTGTTGTGATAAGCTTGATATGAAACTTAGTGTGTTTCCTGCTACAGTTGGTTTATGAGTGCTTCCCTCCATTCTTTGGCTTAGAAGGGAAAATCTTTCTGACTTCTTTGTTGTCAGGATGTTCTGTGGATGGTAAGGAATTAAACTTTATGTGGACCACTAGCATTATATTCAGCTCTTTTTCCATTTTAATGGAATTGTGCAGCTGATGATCTTGCACCATCTGAGTGTCTGAAAATTCCTTGATAATAGAAAGGAAGCTGGAGGAAGTGCAACAGGAGGAAGAAAATGAACTGGGATTGGGAAAACAAGTGTTGGGAATTAGGATGGGAGGAAGATGGAAAAGCAGGGGTGGGCAGTGAAGTTTAATAATAAGGTCATCTTAAAAAAAAATGGAAACCCGTAAGAAGATTGTTTACAAAGAGTCTAAAAAGAGCAGGAGATGTCCTGGTAAGTTGTTGGACACTTAATGAAGGGACAATAGACACAGCATCCATTTGTACATCTTCTTACAAAGGGAAAGGAGCAGCTGAAGAGCCTGACTGGTGTGGTAAGGGAAGTTTTTGAACATGGTCTTCGTGATGTTACAACAGTAACACCATTGGACCTTCAGCTGTGTGAAGAGGAAAAGGGAAACCTAAATGGGAAGTGGAGAACTGAGTTGTTATGTCTGTGGTGTATCTCAAAGCTCACTGTGGTGACAGTGATACTCAGCTTGCCCGTTTTGTGTCTGGAACTGCTCTGAATTTCCAAACTGCCATCAAAAGGTGGCAGTACAGCAATGGAGATGAGCAGCTTGGGCAAAGATGTTTGAGTAGGAAATGTTCTCTTTCACCTTTGCTCCTGTTACAACATGGGTCATCAGCACGAGTGCAAAGCAGAGAACACTGTAGGGAAGTTTTGTAGTTACCTATTTGTAGTGAGATTTATTCCCAGTGGATTTTACCCTCTAGATGGAGGGATCCCTTCTGACTTTGCACACAAGAAAACAGCAGCAATCACATATGCTGGGATTCATCCAGAATTAGCTGTTAGTCAAGACTGACTCATCTCTCTCGGTGAGATGCAGAAATGCTCAGGAACAATTTACCCCACTCCAAACCATGTCTGTGAAACAGGTGGCTGGAAAACCCACAGGGAATAGTTCTCACACAGATAGCTACAAAAATACTTTGTGGAAGAAAAGAACAAGAGAAAATGGTAGTAGCTAAAATTGTTTACTATCACAGGCATATAAATTAATCAGACCACATAGTCCTTAGTATGAACATTCCCTTTACAGAAATGCAATAAATAATTAAATTAGATTAATCAGTTGGTATAAAAATAAAGAATCCTCTCAGGAAAAGTAAATATTATACAAAATTGTATATACCATGCTAAAACACATCTTGAAGTGCCTACAAAGGGCACTTATGATCAAAATCATAAATATATTAGAAAGCCTCCCTGGGAGGTAATGAGCTTTTATGGCTTACATGATGTACTCTGTTAACGAAACACACATTGTTTCTGCAGAGTGCACTTAGTACAGAGTTCATCTCATGAAAAGAAATAAGTCTAGAGGGTGTACACATTTATATTTGTGGTGTCTGGTCCTTCCTTAGGTCAAAAGTTCCTCCTGGGGCATCTTCATTTTTGCTTCTGAGAACACTGGTGCAGAACAAGATGATGTCTTCTTGAACACTGGTTTGTCCTGCACAGATTTCCTGTGCTTCATTCATCCTGTTCTTCAAATAGCACACCCTGAATAACACACTCAGTCTTTGATCACTCTTGGCAAATCCAAGTCTCACATCTTGTAAATCAATGCATATTTTAAGTGCACAGTGTCCCACAGTGATTGTGCTGACACTGCCCAGGGATGTGGTGTTGGCCAAAACCACCTGTGCTAATTTTGTCATTAATATTCTCCATATGTACTGGACTGGCTTGTTCAATAATTTCAGTTTTCAGCAAGATCTCTGAGCACTCAACCCTCTAAAGTTACATTTGTTGCAGTTTCTCACTAGTATTTTGAATACTACAAGTGAGCATCTAAAATTAAGTTGTTCTGCAGGTACAAGAAATAACCTCAATTAATAAACAAGAATATTGTGTTTAAAACAAGAAAAATAAGCTTTAGCACTATGTTTGGTGTAATAAAATCCATAGTTGAAACCAGTGAAGCAAGTCACTAAACAGAAGTAGGTGCATTACTTGCTGCATTGCATGCTGCCTCTTGGACAAAACCCAGGCATTGCTGCAGTGTAGGCAGGACTACCTAGTTAGCTTATGACATTCCTGTAGGGAATTGCTTTTCATTCCTAAAATGTCCATCTCAGGTACAAAAGTTGCTTCTCAGTGCTTTGTAATGATTGCTAATAAATATGTAATAGACAGTGTTGTGCTTGTCAGGGCATGCTAATCCCATTTGCTATGCACAACAAGGATTTTAACAGGCTCTTTTAGAACAATGATTTCAATGCACTTAGCAAGTTACTGGAAAAGACATTTACAGATAAAGAAATACATACTGTATTCTTTGAACAAAAATAAAGCTCTTTCTCCAAAACTCTGCACATGCAAATATTCCACAGAGCTGCATCAAAAGTGCTGCTTTGTTGGTTGTCCTTCTAGGACTCATAAAAATGCACTTAACTAATGATAAAGGCATTCCATTAAAACCCCTCCATAAAAATACAAATGTAGAAACATCAGCAGGTATGCTGCAACTGCAGGACATGCTGCAGGGTTTCCCCAGTTGCTTTTATCCAAATCTGGAATGAAATTTTCCCCAGACTTTAAATCTGTTGCAGTTGCAGCAGCAGCTTTGCATTGCATAGTGCTCACTGATTGGTGATGAAGGGACTTCATGGGTAGGTGAGTCAGAGAAATGGGGATAGAAGGTGCAGGAAGAAAATCATTTAAACTCAGTACTTTGATTACTTACATATGAGTGGTAGGTCTTTTTTAGAATGTTAATTCTGATTCAGTAATGTGGAAACATTGAGGTATAAGATAGAACATTACACAGAGGAAAAGCAAGTTTTGAAAGAGAAGAAAAAGATGTTCTAAATGAAAATGACCATCATCAGAAACAAGGAGAGTTCACTTGGTTTGCTGTGCCCTGAGGATCTTCCTTCCTCTTTCTGATGTACATTTTTGAGGAGGTTCATGTTTCAGGACAGTAAAAATGTGGAGGCAGCAAAACTTTTTGTATTAATTTTCCTTTAGGCAGATGACATTGGTAGGAATGGAAATATTTTTAATACTACCGCATTATTTTTGGAGGTAACTAAGCTTGTCATTTTCCATTCTAACACTAGATGCAGTTTTCCAGTTTCCTCTCTCTACCACATTTCTACTAAGTAGAGAGAAAATTAGATGAAAGATTAATTTTTACTGGAAGGCATTATGCTCTTTTCCAAGATCAGTTTCCTCATGTGGGGTTAATATCTGTTTGGGGCAAATTAGCAGTTACTGCTCAGATGGAAGAACCCAGAGGTTCAGAATCCTTGCAAGCAGAATATGGTGGTATAGAATTAAGCTGGCAAAACTAGTTTTAAGTGCTGTGATACTCACTTTCATTAAAAAAAAAAAAAAATGGTATCTCTAGCCATAGTTCCACAGAAATGTTCAGGATTTCAGGAGCTGGACAGGAAGGTTTCCACAGAACAAAAAACTTGGCAGATTTTTAAAGAAAAAATGGCAAATAGCAAACTGTAAAAATTAATCAGGAGGAGGGAGAATGAATAGTGTTAATGGTGCATTAGTATGAGGGTACATGTTGTCCTCTGAGAAAGAGCAGTATGCATTTGAGCTGTTTCACTCTGACTGAGCATCAATTCCTGTATTTATTGGACATTTTGCAGTGGCTGGTTGTACCAGCCTGTCATGCCTCTGCTCTATCTGTCATGTTAAGCTGGGGCAGTGTAGACAAAATTTCATTTTCTGAAACAGGATTTCCCCTCAGAATCCTGTATCTCCTCTTAGAGCATGTGGGTTACACCTGTTCCTATTGAATCCCATGGCAAATGTGCCATTAGCTTCAAGATGGTAATCACAGCCATACAGTATGATTTGTAAATGTTTTTTCCAGTATTGACAAGGCAGTTAAATGTAGGACATTTTTCCATAGTTAGCTAAAATGCAGTCTCAGAACTTATAAATAAAGCTCTGTGTGTGGTATTATTGTAAATAAGGAAATCAGCCCAAGCAGATTGCTTTGAGGCTTCAAAGCCCCTGATAATTTTTCCGTTAATTTTCTTTAAAAATGTGCAGAAATCTCTGCATGGGATTCAGTTAAGGTCAAAGCAAAAATACAAAAGGAACCATGTCATGTATTTCTAGTTTAGCAGAAGGGGGACAGTTAAGTCCCTTACAAGAGCCAGTTTTTGTGAAATTAGAATTTATTTTTACCTGTAAGGTGGGGCTAGAATCAGTTGCAAAATAGCACCCATCTTATAAATCCCCAGCCAAATAAGACTCCTTAATATTTTGGGAGAAGCTTTCACTTACCACACACAGAGAGCACATCATAATAGCACTGGGAAGTATTTACATTTTTCACGTCTTAAATATAACATAGTGTCTGCTTTAAAAAATAGATTTTCAGTAGCCTTCAGCTGTGGTGTGTCCTAGATCAGTTCTTGTAAAGCTGTAAAAACAAGACATTGTTGGTAAGGTTGTAAACTAAGGATATCTGTAATGATTTGCAAAATGTCAGAAAGCATCCAGGAGGAATGAACTTTGCTTACCATTTGCATAAGATTTTCAAAGCTCTTCAAAAATTCTTTGGGGCTTTTCTTCTCATAAGATTCACATGTTTTCGTCTCATTGGACTCACAGTGCTGGAAGATAAAAGAGAATCATGGCACTTCTAAACAGCACATCACAATCCCTAATCAATCCTCAAGCTTTCTCACTGAAAAATCCGGAGGGTTGTTTGCTAGAAAATGCCTTTTCTAGCTGGAAAAGCTTTGATACAAGCTCTTCCAAAAGGGAAAGAATTTAGTAATGACACCTTTCATTCACTTTTTTTGCAGTGATCCCTGTCCCTCTTCCAGCACATTGTGTGGTTGCCAAGTACATGTATGTGAATTTTTATAGTCACAGGGAACGCTTCTCCCAAAAATTCAAAAATTGGACTTTTTGATTTCCAAAGTCATGAAAGGCAGATTACTGTTTCTAACAGACTTGCTTTCTACAATTCCCCCATTGCAGGGGGCAGCTGCTATAGAAAATAAGGAGCATTATTATTACTATGAGCACTGTGAGGAAATCCTACCTCTCCAGAGTCTCTGTAGGTAAATCTGCTCACAATTCTGATGGCTTTGTGGAACGCCCCCTTATCTTGGCTGCTCGCTGGTTGTAATTTCTGGACGCCCTTCTTGAAGCAGGTCACAGCTGTGGACAGGCATCCCTCCTAGGGCAGGAGAAGAAGGAGCTGGTTAAAACCAGAGTTGCTGCAGCTGTTTTTGCTGCTCATGTTAGATTGTGGTCCATGTGCAGAAGAAAGTATCCAGGGTTTTAACTGAGAATATTCAGCTGTACCTTTTTTATTTTTTTACATTAGTTTTTGATGTGCAGGTGATGTTGAGGCTTTACTTTGGCTGTTCTTGCATAATTACTTCAGTATTTCCTAATGAAATAAATGTCCACTTGGCTATTAATCATGACAGCATTTGAAAGAAAGCAGTCCTGAAGAGTAGATCAGTTACATGCAGTAGGTTTTCACCTGCTAAAGCACGAGCATTTTATTTTAAAAAAATTACAGTGTGGGAATATATTTTTTTTTCTTCTTCATTTTGGTGCCTTTTCTAATAATGCTGGGTTAATAATTAGAATTGACGAAGAACTGCATGTTTTGAAATACTATTAAAATGTTATGTGATAGCATCAGAAATGATACAGAAACTATCCCCAAAACTAATCTAACAGTCAACAGAGAAAGGAAAGCGATGTTTACTGCAGCCAATTTAAGTTGCTTTCTGTTTTCCAAAGAAGGAAGCTGCTGATTACACGTATTAGAAAGGCTCCAAAGCCATCCTTGTTTGCACACCTACTGCTACCCAAGCTGAGTCTCATCTGCCTTATGAGTTGTCACTGCAGTTTGCTGCTTGGGCAAGGACAAGGCAGCTTTCATGGATGTTGCTTATAGCAAATTTTTCTAGCAACATTCTGTGTTGGTCAGATAAAACATTTTATTTTCCTTAAAAACCACACGTTTATGGTTGTTTCAAGCATCCTTACCGTAACCGGCCTTGCTTACTGGAAAAAAAACACTACTTGTCTTTTAAAGAGATCGATTTTCCAGCTGAAACTGAAAACGTTTTTGGTCTCATCCGTGCTGAGCTGAGAAACCAGCATTTCTCATCTGTGCTGCCTTTTCTGTTTTGCTGAGCTGTCACTTGTAGCTGCAGCAGCCAACGAGCAGGGCACCACAAGCATTGTGGGGCCCGGTGGGTTGTCATGGGCTGAGCACTTTGGGGATGAGGCATGAAGGAGCACACAGCACTGGAAATGTCTGAAGGGAGCTAGAAATGTGTAAAATATTTCTATCAGTGGCACTTGGCAGCAGCACTCTGCATCTGACTCAAACTGGCTTTACAGATGAGCCCGTGGAGCCCTTGCTTCCGGAATTAGCGATCAGCGGGTGAGATACAGATCCAGGGCACTTCGCTATCTTGTCACTCAGTGTCACTTCAGCTGCAGTGTCAGTCACCAGCAGGAGAGCTCATTTGCCCTCCAGGCTGGAATTACCTCAGCCTTAACACTGCTTTGTCACTTTTTAACACTGCTGGCTTCCCTTGAATTGACGTCCTCTAATCTCTCTCTATTCAAAGGAAAGAATACTTCATTGTTGAGGGTCCAAGGAAATTATGTGGGAATGAATAGGGGCTAACAGTACACACAAAGGAACCTCAAGGAAGCCAAAATAGATCAGGAGAAACCACCTAATTCTAAATGTTATAATAGGTGATTGAATTTTGAATATTGAAGACCAAATGCAAATCTGCAATGAGCAGGTTAGAATAAAAAAAAAATCAAATATTTTGGTATTTGAAATACAGTTCTGTGAGCAACTTTTTATTAAATTGAGTTTCACTAGGCTGTGATGGCACCTAATCACTGAGTGCCACTTTAGCACACTGTGTTACACATTCAGTCACCCTGTAGGATGAGAAGTTTGTTGATTTGGTTGCTGGTGATAATTACTATTAGCCCACTAATGTTTTTTTACCTGTTTTACATTAGAAGCTGAACCTGTATCAATACCTTCTAAATATGAGAATTCTCTGTCTTCTCTAGTATTCAGAGGAGGCACTTAGGACCTCCCAGAATCAGACAGTAAAGCCCTCAGCTGCAAGTGAGCTGTTGTTTTCCTTCCTGAGGTGAGCATGACTTTTCTTAAGAAAAAAACCCCAACAACCTCATTAAGCAATTAGTCACTAGTTATTGTGTTTGCTTAGTTTCAGAGGCGGGCGGCAAACGCTGGATTAAAATGACAATTAATAATCTCCTCCTTTTCACTTTGACACCACAGGTTAGAAAGAGTTTTAGTAGAAAAAGCCCAGCAATGAGTTTGTGCACTGAAGTTGTTTCTAGCAATTCAAAGGAATGCATCTAGTTTGATGCTTTTGTATATTTTTTGGCAAGTTTGGTCATGCTTTTGTATATTTTTTGGCAAGTTAAACATGCACCGAGCTGTAAAGCCTAGGAAGAGGCTCACCAAAACCTGTGTGAAATAAGGTGAGTTTTTTTCCTTTCTTCTTGTAGCTGCTTGCAAGGGACTTTAGAATCCTGAGTAGATAAATTTTTAAGAATGTCTGCAGCTTTTACAGCATAGTAGTGCATAGTGATGGCTTTCCCATGTCAATCAAAATTGTTTGTGCTACAAGATAGGGCTCAAAAATTTAAGACAGCTGATAACACAAGTATAATAATAGGTAGTCACAGGTTGCTCTACATCTCAGTTGCATGTTGAGGAATTATCAAAGCAGCATGCATTTACCCTCTAAATTTTTAAGATGTGATTTTACTATGATGAGCATTTAAATTCACAGTACATCCTGCATCCTACCACTTTTGAGAGTGCACAGACCTGGTGACTCACTGTATATAAGATCTTAACCTTGGAAGATGCAAAATATCAGCACTAAATAATGTGTAAATACGTATCTGTATTAAAAAATGGTTCACAGGGAGCTGCCCTTGTATTTTTAACTGGTTATAATGAAGAGAATATTGGCAGGTGCAGTTTTGTCTTCCTGTTGGTAGCACAGTCCCTGCACGAACAGACTCAGAGCAGTGTGAGTGCACATGAGAGGAGGAACTGGTTGACATGGCCTTGCAGTGCCACTCTTGCCATTTGGCTGCAGTGGGAGGCAAGGGGGGCAGCTCAGCCATGCTGGAGCTCATGGCAGCTCCAAATACCTGCATCCCCAAAAGCACTGCTGCTTGGCTGGGTATCATCTGAATCCTCACTCTTAGCACTAGTTGTTAATTAAATGGAATTTGTGCAACTCTGGATCTATTGGTGGGTTATGATACACATAAAAAAGCAAAATAGTAATTCCAATGCCAAAATAGAAACACTTCTGCTATTAAATATCCAGAAAAGAACTTTTAGAAAGCATTTTCTTACTCAGTCTAGCTTGCACTAAGAGTACTAGGTCAGAGATGTGAAGAACAAGACATTGTCCCATTTGTCAATGGGAATAAACCAGCACAAAATCAAAGTTATATAATTTTGAAAAAAAATTTTAAAGCAGCCTCACCACAAAGTTTTCTGGTGTATGCAGCAATTCAGCATCCTAAAATAAAACAAATAAATCTAAGTTAGAAAATTTTTACCATTTGAAAGTGATGTCTCTCATAAGATACATACAAAGCAATGTCCAGTGCTTGAAAGTAATCTCAATATTATGACAAATGCCATCACTTACCTTGTCTTTCACCATTGTTTGTAAGTCTTCAATTTTCTTTTTAATCTGTTTGTATTTTAATGTTCTGGGTGAAGCTGCAGTCAGCATCATAGTGGAGCAGAAGAAAAGCATGCAGAAAATAATCATCCTCTTCATCCTGATGAGTTCTGTTTTAAAATGTGCCAGGAGCAAAGCTGTGCTGTTCAAGTGTAACACTCCAGTTTGAGCTGTGCTCAGGTAAACTCTGCACCTACCTATATATTGCTCCCTGCTGGAGATGGAGAACCCACCCATTTCAGTTTGGAAAGCTTTGTAGAATGGATTAATGAGTAACCCTTTTTTCTTTTCCACTGGCTAGGTGCATGTATGCAGGCTTGTGCGTGGGGGGGCAGGGATTGATGGAGTGAAAGAAAATGTGCCCCATCTGCACATTGGGCAGGAAAAAAGAGAAAAGGGTGAATTCCCATTTTCACTTTGAGTCAAGAAATGAACGTACTAAAAAGTTAGTACTTAGAAACCACGGGCCTAAGTAAACAAAGATTCTGCATCTTTTTTCCTGTGTCATACAGCAATGAATCTCTTCAGTCCATCTACAGCTCTTCTGTACTGTTCTGGAGAAATATGACAGGACTTCTTTCAAAATTTAAATTTATTTATCTCACTTTATGGCTCCAAGGAGTGTTTGTCAGCTATTTCCTCCTGACATATACGAACTGTGGCTTTTTCATTCTCAGCTTGGATTGTGTTAGAGCTGTGAGTAAAAGCTCATCTTAGCATTTAAACCAGCTGAAACTTGCTTTATCTTTGCTTGGAACCAGTAGCAGATACATGAACAGCATTGTGGAGGGCCTGTCCATGGGAGTGAAGGTTGCAGGGAGATACCTTGGCCTGGGAGAGATGAATCCCTGGAGCACAGCCATGACCAAGAGGGTCCAGTACTGGAAGGGCAGGGACTAAATCCTGGTGTGCCAGTCCCAAGGGATGGGCAGGGATTCAATGCTTGTGGCACCTAAACACATTCAGTTACATCCTTCAGCAGCTGAGAATTTCCTTGGGAATGTAGAAGAATGTTTGAAGTCCAAACAAAAGTCTGTGCAGGCATTAGGGACTTACTGGACTTCCAGCTCTAGGAATCAGTTGATTTTAAAATCCCTGATCTTGATATTTCATCACAAAGAGAAGAAAGCCAGCTTTAAATTACTTTTTTGTATTATCATTATTTAATTACTATCAATGGCACTGAAGGGTCCCTATGTGGAATTAGTAGAGAGCAGTTAAAGTCACTTGGGCACCTTCAGTTGTGATGAATAAAAAGATGGTCAGGTATCTGTCAAATTAAATTTTTTTTTTTGAAAATCTGAAGATTCCAGATGGCTTTGGGGATGCTTTGCAAAAACTACACAGAGTTTGGACTACAGTTGGATGTCTGGTAAGCTGTATAGTATTCTGACATGGTATAAAATTCCCTGTATAAATCTGTCTGGTGGGTGAATTTGGGATGTCAGGCTGGGTCACTTGTTCATTGTTCATTTAAAAATGAGTGTTTAAGCTGGTGACAGCTCTATCTAACATGCTATGGCATGTTTCTTTTCTATGTGCAAATGATTATTTACTCTATACTGTTTATGTGCTTAAGTAATTTTTCACCATTCAGAAAATGAATAGCCTAAAGGAATAAATTTTAAAAGTGTATGTGTAAATACACATAACTGCACTCAGTCTCATGCATGCACACACAGACTCTCTCCTGGTGAAAGAGATAGCTACTAACACCCAATAAAAGAGAAATTCTGAAAAAGGAGAACTGAAACAAGTAAGAAAAAATACTTTCTTCTATCACATAGTCTGAAATTTTATTTCTCGAAGGAAAGGTAATGTGATGATTTTTCTTCCCCCCTATGGATTCATCTTAAAATAATTTTAGATAAGCGGCACAGCTGCACTGTGAAGTATAGAGGATCTAATTAAGTTTTATTTGAAATGTCTGTTAATTTATGGCTAGGGTTCATTAAAGGAAGTCAACAGCATCTTTGGTTTGAGAAGCCACATGGTGACCAATACTTCTTTTTATCTTCTCTCCCTCCATCCCATTCCTGTCAAGCATTGCAGAATTATTTTTTCTTTGTCTGACACCTGCCTGAGGCTGCTGAGAACGCAGAGAGGTTTTTTCCAACAGTGGTATTCTTTACACAAAGAGAAGTCTTGCCTTGCTCCTCTTTACCATAACTTCTACATAGGTTGTTGCCTGGTAATGTGGATGAACATTTATTTATTCTCTAATCCAATTTTTGATTGACGATTGGAAGTGTTCATGGTAAAGAAACAGGCTGGTGCTAATGTTTACTTTTACTTCTTTTTGCCAGTATTTCAACTGTGGATTCCTCTGGAAAGTTTCTTTGAGCTCAGCTACAGTAGGTGGTCGTGGTGGCATTGTCAGCCATATATACATCTTTATTTGGTTGACAGGTTGGGAACTTCCCACTTGGATGTGTAACAGGACTCTGTTAGCTGGGACATCTTGAGGTGTTTGGCAGTGTTTCATGGAAAGAGATGAGTGAAGGTTTTTGCTGGTGCAGACAACTTCAGAACCATTTCAAAACTTTAGTTAATGCACAGGGTAACTCTCCATGTGTTTTCAGAAGCTCAGGGCTTACAGGGGCAGAGGCAGAGCTCCACCAAAATCATGGGAGGTGAGACTGCTCTGTCTAAACTACTCCAAATTAAATCAGTTACATCAGAGATCAGTTTTAAAGCTGGTGGAATAAATGGGAAATTAAACAATGGGCATTTGAGAATGTGATAACTTTTGTTTGCATATCAGGTCTCTAGAGCTGCTGTATAGACTTCTGTTTTGTGGTAGAGGCTGTGAGGCCACAAGAACGGCATCAAGGAAGCCATGCTGACAGAGAAAGTGAAATGCAGGGACAAAGGAGGACTTCCTCTATTGTCTAGGCAGTGGAGAAAACTCCTTGATATCCCCCTTATCAGATAAGAGCGAGCAGCAAGTTTTTATATACGTCAGGGCTCTCTTGCGGCTTAGGAACACGCTGAGTCAAACACTGACAGCCTCTCTCGCACGGCCCCGGCCCGGCCCCGCAGGGATGGCTGGAAAGAGGAAATGTGAGAAACCTCCCGGCCGAGCCCGCCGCGCCCAGCCCTCCTCTTTCCTCTTCGCGATGGTGCCACCCGAGAGCTGCATGACTTCGACCCCGAAAGCCCGGTTCCCCACCCACATTTTCCTTTACAGGAGAGCTCAATGGAGGCTTTTCCCATGGCTTAGTCATTGCAATATGGCTCAGCCAAAAATGTCTGTGATATACAGGGTTGCTTTCAAAGAATTTTTATAACTTAGGTTTGTGAAATTTCATGTATGTACTGTCCGTGATTTGAGGGATTGTAGGAGACCAGGGGAGAGAGTTATACTGGAAAATGGGAGACTAGGAAGAAGATTCCTGTAAAACAGATTTAGAAAAACTAGTCTTCAAAATATTTCTGGTAGCTTTGCAAGACAGTTCTACTCTCTTGTAGTCTTATTTTCCTATTATAAGCTTCAGTGTAGTTCTTTGGTCTTTGAACTTTGTTTTGTATTTGTAAAGGAAAAACCTAACTTGGGAAAAAAAACTTATTCTTACTTGTATTTGCTATAAAAAATGAGAGTAATAGAACTCAATGTGGAGACACAGACACTAAAATATCAATAGGCAGCAATATAAAATTATTTACATCCTCCATAATGCTTCTCCAGGGCTAACTTGTAGCCTATTTCTTTCCAGTAATGCTTCTTAGGCACATAGTTTGATGTATTTGTGTCCTTACCAACTACTAATGACAAACTGTACTGAGGAAACATCCTGTCAACACCTCGAGCCTGAGACAAGCTTAGACCCACCCTGCAGAGAGCCAGATATTCAGCTGTCCTCTTGTGGGCACATGATTTTAAGTATCCTCTAGTGCTGGGAGCAGCCTCCCCCCTCCTGGGTCACAACTTTCTCTGCAGGTAGGATGGAAGGAGCCTCACTGTGTGACCAAGTGAGCTCCTCTGCCACTGCACTGAGCCATGGCATGCAGTTCCTTTCACATCTCAGCTACAAACTCCTGCATAAGGCCTGAACAGTTTGATCCCTGTAACTAAGAGCTCAGAGCTGTGCCTGAGCTGTGTTCCAGCTTTCATAGAGAGCTTCATTCTCCTTCACAGTCATGCTCATAATCTTTCCTCACTACCCGAGGACAGCCACGTTTAGAAGACAAGGCAGCAGCTGACAGGATGTTTGGCTACCACAGTTCTCTTAAAATTTTGAGGGCAGAAAGGAGTTGTTCAGCTGAAAGCCACAGATGGGGAGAGGTTGGGGCAAGTCATTGCTCCTGCTCTGTGTGGCAGCCAGGACTTGTGCTGCTCAGGGGTTTGATGCATGGCAGGTCTCCCTGTGAAGGATGGCCTACAGAGCACCACCTTTCTACCACAGGAGTGTTGTCTGTTTCCCAGCATTCCCAACACATCTCCCAACGATTCCAGTAAGAGATAAGCCTGTGGTGTGAAAAGCAGGGGTGTGGTAATGCTGAAACCCAACAGCATATATCATGTTCATCCCAAATGTTGAGCAAGAAAAATCAGAAAAGGTACATGCAGGTGTTGGACAATGAATGGAGGATGCAGAATGGAACAATGCAAGATGCTTCCCTTGTTCATTTACTACTATTAGTGAACAGAAGGAGCAGAAGTCAAAAGAGACTGACACACTTCTGTGTTACAATACCAGTAGCGTAAAACAACCTCTGAACAGGCTCAAGATGTGTGTGGTGCACAATCTGGTACACAGCTAACCATTCCACTGGCAGCTGGGGCTCCCTGTATCCTCTTATGCCTTGCATGGTGATCAACATGACACTACAGTTTTGATAAAAGGATTCAATGTTTGATGTTACAGATTCTTTTGGAAGTCACCCCCAGGGTTTGGTGAGGCTTCTGAGCTTGTGTGGGATCTCCACAGCAGTGCATTGTTCCTCCTTACACAGCCTAAAGCTAAACACAGGGCACAGCCACTGAGGGGCTGTGGCCCCTTTTCCCTCCTCCAGCAGATCCACTCTGATTTGGTCTTTATAATACTTTTTACATAAAGTGATCTTCAACATAAAATGCTATTTTCTCCTTTTTATTATGGTTGTTATTGGTAGAAGCAGATGACTGAATACCACTTATTTCTGACTAGTTCTGCTTTCAGGTACTGCCAAAATACCACAGATTGTACCCTCATTCTTCTATCTATATGTGTTTACTGTTTATACTCAGTCTCTAATAGAATTATTTTTAATGATAGTGTTGATTCCAAATCCTATGAACTCGGTCACATTATTCTCCTGCCCTTTCTTATGTGTCTTCCCAGGGCCAGTGTCACATCTCATGGTGCTGGGGCACCTCTGGCACAGCAAGAAGTAGTGAGGACAGAGGAGCAGTGTGACATTGCACGGGAGGATGTGGTCTGGATCCCTTTGGAGTGACTCCAAGTCCTTGCTTGCACAGCAGCTCCTCAGCTTGCCCTGAGCACCCCGGCTGTGTGTGCTGCAGGCCACTGGATCAGCCTCCAGATGTGCTCTACTTCAGCCCCTGCAGCAGAGGGGAGGCTTTGCTGTGTCACCCTGCATAGCTGAAGTGAAGGCTGAGGCAGAAGCCATGTCTGCAGTTCTCAGGGAGTACAAATCCATGTGCTTTCTTCAGCAGCAAAGCCATTTAAAGAAATTTCTACTTCAGGTCACTGCTACTCTGTCACAGTTTGTCACAATCTGAGGAGCCTCTGTTACAAGGGCCTTGGGTCAATACAGTGAAATCCCTCTTGCAAAGGCCTTGAGAGAGCGTTTGTTTAGCTTTGTTTTAATTGCAATCATTTCACTATAAACCCTATTTTCTCCTTAGCACACCTGACAAATTTGCAAATAGAAATGAGTTGCTAGAAGCCTGACACTCCCCTCCTACTGCTCTACTACTGAGCACAACTGTGATCTGCTATGCAACAAGTGCCTCCTTAGCACATGAGGCTGAGGGGGCCAGTGGCTCCCACTCAGGAGCATCATTCCAGGAACAGCAATTTGGTGTCAGTGCAGACACCATTTCATGATTCTGGCAGAATTGTTTTATGGAGGAGTGTTTAGGGGAATCTTAACTCTGAACATTTAGGTCTCTTGAAGGTATGGTGTTGTTCAGGCAG